GGTCCTTCTTCAAAGTTTCACCCTTTACAGCGTCTCTGTCTGCATCCGAAATGTCCTCCGACATTTATATTCAGCTTCTATATCCCTATTCATTCCCTTCATCCGTCCTTCAACCCTTTACATCCCTTGAAGTTCTTATTGCTGATTATAATCACAATTTTCGCGTGCGCGCACGTCACAATCTTAATTATATTTATATTCGGCGTCAATATTTAAAGAAATTTTTATGAAACGAAAGCTTTTATTAACGGCTTCATTAAAATCCGGAGATGTACATCCCTTATATCCGTTTTATGTTTGATGCTTTGACGGTTGCGTAAAGGGAAAAGGGTGAAAAATAAAAGATGATTAATTAACGGAATGTTTATCGCTGTTGGTGTTGAACACACTGTATGTTATAATTGAGGGGTGAATCTGCGGCGTGGCATAATAACTTCTGCGACATTAATATTTATTTCTACCCTTGAGCAACGTCGCGGCGTTGGTGGGTGAGCAAAACATTGTGCGCTACGCCATCGTTGATGAATTTGACTTTTTGTCGAATACGTCGTCTGTGCGCTGCGACGAAAATGAAGGACCGACACTAAATTCAGCGGCATTTACATTCGGATTTACATTAACACTTCTTGCACGCGTTGATGTTAAACTTTTTTACAGAAATACTTTTATTTATTATAGTTAAAATACGTTATGAAATTTTTGCGTTTGAATTTCTGTTAATTTTAATATTTTTACTGTGGATTTGCATTTTTTATATTTATGTCATGTCATGTTCGTACAAGTTGACGACTTTACAGCAATCGTAATCACTCAAATTGCACTCTCCAAGTTGGTAATTTCGCAAACAAACGAAAAGTTGTAAACTCCACGTTGATGTCAACTTTTCCCTAAAGAGCGGGAGTAAAATTTTATTTTAATGTCAGCGGAGGTACTTTTTGTAAAATGTATACATTTTCATTGGAGGTTTCAGCGGATTAATGTTTGTTGGTGGTGTTTATTCGTTAGCTTAAAAATATTGCTTAAAATGTTAAAGAAATTTGTAGAAGTAACATTTTAAAACATCAAGAATTTTTCTATGCTGATATTGCACGGCAGCGCCATCTTTGAATTATATAACTATAATCATGATTAAATTACCATATCAACTTTCATCCTTTGTTTTACACCCTACAAGCAATATTTTTGTAATAAAATAGCAGCTTATTTGCTTTTCCCAGGTCAAAACTATCTTCAGTCCAAAATTTATCAAAATTGGTTGAATAGTTTATGCGTGAAAGCGTCACAAACAAACATACACACATTTACATTTTTTTGTACGAATGCGTATATTAAGTTTGAAAAATCTATCTCACACTAATAGATAATTTAAAATTTAGTTAAAATAATTAAATGTGTAATAATAATTTAATGTTTAAATAATTAAATGCGCTATAAATGCAATTTTAGCGCATTAATGCATAAAAATATAACTTTCTACACTTTACTTTACTTTACACCCGAAAAGTTAAAGTTATTACTATGTGATATTTGTGACCAATATTTTTATAACCCTAAAACATGAAAAACAACTTAGTAGACCTCGAAACGTCCGCTTCCGTCTTATTGAATACACGGTAATAACACGCGAGAGGAAAACACGGGAAACGCGCATAAACGGTTTGCCTCCACGACGCTGAAAGCCGTTTTGCGAGCAATAATAGAGATGTGAAAATGCACGATCGATTTTCATATTTTCACGCGTGCACACACCGAATATGTCGCAGCAGGAACCCCCCGGAGTTGAAACGTTACATCGTTACATGTTATAAAACCAATATAAACGCACACAATTTCATATTATTACAAAATATATATGCAAACAATTCCACGAACGACGTGCAAATGCATACTTATTGGATAAAGTTTTTTATTAATAAATTTAAAGATGAAAACTTTCATCGTCGGATAAAGTTTTACTTTTGTATGTTTTTTTTTTTGGCGTGGAAGAGTATACAAATTTAATATTTTATGAAAGTTTATGAAATTGTTACAAATTGTAGAAAATAGTTGGGAAATTTTGTGCGGATCAAGCAAAATATGAGATGTGAAAAAGCGTGAGTAAAGTTTTATACGTTGCGCTCTCCGCGTAATTGCATATTCCATATTCGCTTCTTCTCGCACGCGGTGCTCGGGGGGCAATTTTCTCCAGCGCGAGTATTACCATCGATTGCAGTCGTGCCGCCGGATGCAATCGGGGGCGCCGTAACGTTCTTGTTGCGATTGGATTCAATTCGCAATTTGCACCCATCGGCCAGACACATTGGGCAAATGGTGCACAACTCCGCTGAGTGCAGACATTGCGCAGACACAATGCATACGAAATGCTAAAGCACTACAAAAATGCTAATAAATTTTATTATCATTTTGTTACTTTATTTATTTCATTCTTTCCTTCATAGCGCGCGTAAAGTTACGAAAGAAAAGCAAAGCAGCTTATTGTTTGCTGGTTTCCTTGCGAAATAAAGCTTTACTTTAGTGTTTTAGTGTTTTATTTGTATTTTTGAATCATATCTCGTATTTTTAGTACTTTGTGTCTCGCTTGTCGTCTGGCTTTCGCTTTCCGGGCGTATTATATTAAAGACCTAAGCGGAATGTGACAGTCGGGGTTTTCGTGTTCTACGTCGGGAGGGAACTTATTTTTTCCGAATAAGAAAGACATTGTATTAACTTACAAAAATAAAATAAAGAACATGAGAAATAATAGCGTTTTTGTTCACCTTTAGGCAAGGTATATTCATATATCATATTAGGAGTAAAAAGTTGTCGTTCAGGTTCGTAGAATAAGTATATACAGTATTTAGGTTTGTATTATGTCCACCAGATGGCGTTATGTATTTTTTTGGGGCCTGCGGAGTATAATCTCTCTAATATAAAAATGAATTGCAAAATCTGTTGGTAAGCGCATAACTCAACAATGCCTAAACCAATTTGGCCAATTCTTTTTTTTTAATGTTCGTTAAAGTTCAAGGATGGTTTTCACGGCGAGAAAAATTTGAATCATTTCCGGGAAAACCCTAAAGACAGCCTTTTTCTACGTTGGCATTGAGATTCAATCATATTTATAGTTAAATAGTTGAATCCGAGATGGCGTTGGAGTGCATTATTAGCAATTCTTTATATAATTAATTTCTTTAAAATAAAATTGCGAATCTTATTGATAGAATTGACACATACTATGTCTAGAGCAAGAGAATAAAAATAAATTACATTTTTAATTAACACAACCGGGACGAAGTCGCCGGCAAAAGCTAGTATTCATATAAAATAAAGTTGCGTTAGTTACAATATTTATAACTCATGAACAGCTGGACAGATTTTGATGAACTATGATTTATTGAATTCGTCTCTAACCCAAATAGTAGAATAATTATTAAAAAATTAAAAATTATGATTTAAAGAGCGTTAAATATAATATAAAAATAGGTAATTAGATACAATCATAGTTATAGCTAAAGAAATAGCGCCGAGATGGCGCTAAGGTGCAATTATTACTTCTTTAAAATATAATTGCCAAACTTATTGATGAAATCGACACACATTGCATAGATATTTAGAAATTTAAAAAAATGAACGGTGTATTATACCAGGTCAATAAAAAAAACAATTTTTGCTATTGTTTAAGTTCTAAATACAATTCCAAACTGATTTTGCTTAAAAAAGCTTTTTGTTGAAGCAAAAATTATATTTTGTAAAATAATTCTTTCCCTTCCTGATTTGGTTCATTTTATTTTGTGTTTTATTCACTGCTCGGATTAATGATGATGAAACTATAACAAAAGAGCTTTCCAGCGCGCTGCGCTCAACTGCATTCTGTTTTTGTCGAGCGTTCTACGTGCCGAGCCACCGACGTCAATGAAAGGTAGCTCTGAAAACTTAATTAAAAATTAGCACCACTTCTGCCGACCATCATGCTCCTGCTATCGCTACACCACTCTGCCACACCGAGCACTCAATTTTAATTCTACACGCCGCCAAAAATAAATACACACGTCCACCATATCAAAAAAGACCAAGACCTAACTCTATTAATATTTTATAGACGAAACGAAACATTTATACGCACTGGATATATAAAAATTAAAAAAGTAAAAATCGTTTTAATAAAATTCCTATTGCATAGCATAGCATCGGATGCAGAAAAAAAAGCAAAAAAAAAATTAAACTCTTCCGGGTGTAATTTTCAATTAGGTGTATATTGGCCCGCACGCCGAGATCACAGCAAACGCGCGCAACGAAAAGTAATAAAACTTTACGGGGGCGCCGGCGAAATTAAAACAAAAGTGTGATAATTAAACGAAGCGCAGGCGAAAAAATCATAATAAAACGGCGAGACGTGACGGTGAAGAAAGCGCTCAAAAATGAAAACCAAATCGACGAACGCTGAAAACTGCTCCGCGCTCAGCTAAAAGGTTAAAAAGTCGAAACGCTGAAAGTTACAACGTGCAAACGCGCAAAAAAACTAATTGCTATGGCATCGCAGCGGAAATAACGGAAAACAGTGGAACACTGAAAGGGTTTCAATGTGCGCTCATTAAAAACGCTCCGATTATGAGTTTCAAGCTTTCAGAAAGAAATTACAATGTGTTTCAACTCATTAGCCTAAAAACAAGTGTAATTGGTTGCATACCTTTCAATGCGTTAAATATTCAATTTATATTTCCATTTGTTTAATTTAAAATTTATATTTTCATTTGTTTAATTTAAATCTGCACTATTTGGATATTTTATGTTAGTAATCAGATTATTATTACGAATTTTAATAAAATAATTAATGCATTGATCAGATTATCAGTTGTGATTGATTGTTTCAATTATAGTCCTGCCGATAATTAATAATTGAATTTACGAAGACGTAAATTGCGATTTATCAATGTTTATCATCGTCGCATTAGCATAAATCAGATTATCGTAATTTATATGACGCTAATTTATCGACATGGTGCTTGTTGGGTTGCAGAATTGACGACCGACAACTGCCCGCCGCCTAATCTGGTGAAGAATGGTTCGGCGTCGGCGCACAACGACCCACAACTCAAGAATGAATACAGCCATGTCAGAGAAGTGAAGTTTTTAGGTTCGGTTGGTCCGATGGGTGAGCGACGCCTGTGTAAAATCAAATGCATCGCCGGGCAATGGGTAGGACCATTGTGTGTTGATCAGCAAGGTAGGCAACACGTTTTTCTGCCATGTTACGTTGTATTTTAAGGTTGTATATTTTGTTTGTCCACTTTATTCAGTTTTTTATCACTTTTGTTTGCGCTTGACGTCGCTGCGCCATCAGATGGAGTGCGTGTCGTGTTTATTTATTAACCGCGTTCACGCGGCACGTAAACGTTTTGTTATAACAATAACAATAGCTCGGGGACCCATCCGGGATGAGAAATATGTGTAATAAAGCGTCTCGCGGCCGCGATAATTAAACCGTAAATTTGCCACGCTTCTCTCTTCCGCTTTCCGCGTTCGCTGCTTTCACTTTTCTTTTATTTTATTGCACAAGAGGAACACGTGTTACGCTTAACGCGTAATACTCGTACAACGCAAAACATATTATAAGAACAGAACCACCAACAAAAAAAAAACACAATATAAAGGAAAAACACAAAGAAATGTTATAGCGAATATAAGCACATATATACATTTATTTATTTTTTATAATTATGTGTGTTTATTAATTATTTTGCGCATGTTGCACCATCTGTTGTCTGAAACACAAGAACTATTCAAATTTGTATTCTTACGAAACTGCGAGTTTGTGTGCTAAATGATTGTGGTGGCAACTTGCGGTTTGCGCACCCTTTGCAATTTCACACCCTGTTACTTGTTACCGAGTAATGTATGAAGTTCCACGGTGTATTATACAGCGTGTTTGAAAACTCCAACATAACCTAAAACACAACTTATCTTATTTTGTTATTATATCAATAATTTTAGTGATAATTGTTATGTAAAAGTAAAATTGTGTTGTATTTTAATTTAAATTAATATATCACGTTGGTTTTGCAGACAATGGCAAATTCCATCCGCTCTTCCGAAGTTGCAAACTCGAATACATCAGCCCGCACTTACTGGTTACCTTCAGGAATGTAACGATACACGTAAGCACTCATTTATTATCGCACTCCTAACAACCAACAACCAACTTGGAATTAGTTTGAAGATGTTATACCTACTGTTAATGGCCGCCATTTTATAGTCACTCACATTCCTTGAAATAATATTCTTTCCAAAGCCACCCTCAAGTGTTGAACTGTGTTTGGAGGGTGTCAAAATGATTCGGATGTGTTTAAGATGGTGGTGATACATCTTGTTGATTAGAAGGCGCATCTTACCACCGAAGAACATTAAATCATCGTTGAGTGTCGCATTGGTGCGTTAGCTGCGTATTATCGCGCATTATTCCGGCCGAATAATGACGCCATCATCGCTAAAAGCGCAGAAAACAACCACGAATCACCTCATGCTGCTTTCCACCCCCCTGTGGGGATGAGAGTGCGAATGAAGAGGGCGTCATAAATTTCGGACAGCACTCGTGTACGGCCATTTTGTGTATTAAGCCCAAGTTTAATTTTGCGTCGCGCGAAAATGGATACGGTGCGAAGTGGAAGTGGTCATGAGTGCGGTTTTATAACGCCGCCGCCGCCACCGTAACCACCCCTATCGCCGCACGCATTACTGAACGTGTCATCAATGCCAGCTGCATATGCAGAGGTTATTTATTGCCAGATTACCGAGGCTGTTATATTTGCATTATAGGCAACCAAATATGCACAAAAATTACTTTAATTTTATTTTTGAGTATAAATTTTACTCAACCGGCTTGTTTGCTGTAAAGATAACAAGGGCCAAACACGATTAATTAATTTTGCGTATCGAGATTTAGATTAACGGGCACGAACCTTAATTTAATCCTCGCAGTCGTCGAACAACAAACTTTTGCCGGCAGCGTTTCGACTGTGCGCTCGTTGCAAGCAACATCAATAGTTGTGCATATCGTTCGCAGCGTTCGCGGCTAGTTTAGTTAGTTTGTGTTTGGAGAATTAGCGGAACCTGGACACGGATCCAGCTCTGTAGCAGTATAGGTTTCCATTCGTTTAAGCGCGATTGAATGCGAATTTGTGGGGACCGCGGGTTCGCAAATCAATCGCAAACAGTTTACGGTTGCCAGTGGTTGATTGAATCGACAAACCGCGTCTGTAAACAAACACGAAACAAAACAATACTTATTTTCAACTATCGTAATTGAATAAGTAAAATTTTAAAAAAAAGTTAGGTTAGGTTAACAAGCATACCTGTAATACTTTTGTGATTATCTGTAGTTTGTTTGGTAAAAAAAACGTAGTTCCAAAATTTGTCCTCGTTAAATATTTGTATCTGAAACTACAGATCAAAGTCAATCCTTCTGTGAACAAGTAAAATGCATGATTTTGGCATTTCCTTGCTCCATGCCAACATTAAATCTCACTGCGCATCTTAAACAACTTCACCAAAGTGCCTATTGGCATCGCCAGCACAGAGAATTCTAAATGGTATGCATTAAACCCGTCCGTACTTCTACTTCCGCGCACTTTCATGCTCTAACTTCCTGTAAGTTACCCAGTGAAACTAAAACTAAAACTTAAAGATGAGAATGACGTTGAAATTGCGAAATTGGACATGAAACCAAGACAGCACCTTACCGTCAGGCAACACACCATACATTTCCAGCATACAAAGTTGCCTATGTCATCGGCGTGGCCGAATGGCGTCTTGGGACGTCTTCAAAGTGTAATGCTCACTTCTCTCGACGCCTGTTCTAACCTACATAGTGTATGTCTCAATGTGTAATTCTGTTAAAGACGGCCGGCTGGGTACTGCCCCACGGGGCGAAACTTCAGACACGCTGCAAGGAGCTCGGCATGTACAAGCTGCTCGGCGCTGCAAGCCCCCAGTGTCAGAATGGAGAGTGGTCCTCGAAGTTGCCCTCCTGTGTGCCCACCACTCTAATCACCAACTTTACAGGTAAGAAACAAAAAATATCAGCGCGTTTAAATAACGCTCTATTTAAACATGTACCAATTGATTACTTTGGCTGTATTATCGTTTGGGTGTGTGTGGTTTGAGCCGGCTTGGGAATTGAAGCGTTCGCAGGTTTGCAATGATGACACCGGGATTGACCGGGAAATGCGAGTAGTTCCGTGTGCATTGAGCCGAGATTGACCAGGGAGCCGGATCGGTAGTGCTCCGATGGGTTGTTTCAATTAATTTCCGAACATGCTAACATCCCAATGTGTGCAAAGTGTGCATTCTAGCATGAGGGTTTAATAAATGTACAAGAGTATTACTAATCCCAACATGGTTCATCAATATTGAAAAAAATGTTTGTTTTTGTGTGTAATACCTTGTTACTAATTTGTTCCCTGCTTTATTATTGTTTTTTTCTTGTGTTTTTCTCCTTAATTGGCACATTTTTTCGTGTTTTATCTCGATTTTTCGCTATTGTTGGTGAAATTTTCGCATTTCGCAAACAAAGCGCACACATTCGGACCGAAAATGAAACTCATAAGCTTTGTTGTATTAAACCCCGAAGAGGACTTGAAACTTTCAATGCGGAACGAACGACGCCGAAGGTAGCAACCGGCTGCAAACGGAAAAGGAGTGTAATAAAATAAAATAAAGGATGAGGTGGGGTTGGTGAAAATGTAAAGGCTGGAGAAGAAAAAAGCGAACGAAGAAGTGGTGTAGTGTGTAGGTTTGCGCTGGTCGTGGGCTCAAAGGTAGCCCTTTCGTCGTAATTGACCCAAATTCCAGCACGGCGAGTTAGTACTTATGCGCACAATAAGAACGTATTATTATTCTGCAAATTGGCTCTCGTATAAGACTTTTTTCCCTTGTCTTGTTTTCATCCCTTTTCTTTGCATTCCGCCATCGCTGGCCCTTTATTTCTTTTATATTTTTATGCGCGAGTTTATGGTATTTTTTCAAGTTTGAAGTATTACGAAGCGACGACATGAAGCGGCGCTTTTCTTAGTCTTGCGTCGTCTTCGAATGATTTTCGGTGTGGCGGGGACCCCGTCGTCAGATCCGCGCACGAGATGAAAAGCCGGAAAGATGTAAACAAAGACCGTGCCGCAGATGATGGAAAGTTTCGCGTGTTTTCTGCTCGCGGTTGACGGTTTTCAAACGAAAAAAAAAAACGAGATTCATACGACTTGCACATTCCACTACAGAGTTTATATTGATTTTAATATGGGAATATGAAAAATGACGAGAGGGGAATATTTCAAGTTATGAAATTTAAGTTTTTGTTATTTGTTGCAAACGTATTCATAATTTTAAATTATAGAGTATAAAAGGATTTAAATAATTAAAATTCAATATATTTTATTTCAAACTAACTTTTTCCAGCGTCGTCCTCGTAATTTTTAGTAAAAATGTAATTATTTTTTTCTGTTTTGGATAGAATACGCAATTTTATTTTTAATGAATTAAGGATTGCTCATAAAGTATTTTAGCGCCATCTCGAATTCAATTATTTTACTATAACTATGATAAAATTTCCATATTAATTTCCATCCCTTATTTAACACCGTTTAAATTACAAATTTTATTATTTTATTAGTTATTCTGCTATTTGAGGTGGAAATAAATTCAAAATATCAAAAATCATCAAAATCTATCCAACCGTTCTTGAGTTATAACTGCTGTAACTAACACGACTTTGTTTCATATTTATCCATAGCACTAAATTTCCATTCGTTGCATTTATTTTTGCAGAAGATGCACCACCAACGATACTTATCCGGATACCGTCCGGCTCAGCATCGATTGAACCCGGAGGTGAGCTCGCAGTGTTTCCGGGATCTACTTTGCATCTCGAATGTCTCTTCTCTCGTCGTCTGGGATCACCGGATTGGACATGGACCGCGCAACTTGGCCAATATTTAACAGGTAAGTACAATTTTATTTATATTTATTATACTTATACGTACCGGAGGAAATTTTTAGTTGTAATTTATTGCCGCCGCCTTGTATAATAATGAACATGTAAAAGCACGTAGAAAATTGTTTTATGCGAGTGGCTCGGTAGCGCGAAACTTCGCAACCGCATTAAACTCATTAAACTTATCAAACTTATTAAAGTTATTAAGAGCGTGTCGAAGTGGCGTTCACTTCCATTTATGAGCAATATGCAGGAAAGAATTTTTGCAAAAATGGTAAAATTTTAAAAATAAATATTTTACATCATAGGATTTTTTTTTAAGTAGATTTAAAGCTATTGCCCCAAATAAATTCAAACATTCTTAAATTAATATCAAATATCAAATAAATTTCTAGACACACTTTATTCACGACCAAGACCGACACTAACTTTGACTTTAGTCCCAGTCTTTAGCCACGGGGTGGAGCTTACACTTGTTACGTTCGCTCTTAATTAACCTCGTGCTTAAAATACCATTTAACGCACTCGATACCCTTTGCATTTTTTTGCTATAAACAGTAGCTTCTCTTTTATTTCTATATACATGTATCGTTTTTATCTAAATTGGTTTAAAAATGTTTGCGTAAAAGAATAACAAACAAACAAACAAATTAGTAAACTCAGATTAACATTCCTAAAATGAATTTTATGGTATTGTAATATTTTTGGATCAATGTCATTTGCCTTTCCACATTGTAAATTTTTGCGATTGTGTGTGCCCTGCGGCCTAATTAAAAATTGTCCTATATTTATGACCTCGTAAAAGTAGCAATTTCGTCGCGTGTGCTTTTTTATTACGTTGTACTGCGCTGCCACCAAAACGTTTTCGGTCCTGATTAAACAGAGTTAAACACAAAAGCACACAAAGGGGCTTTTCACCACTCATTACACCTGGTCCTGATAATCATAATGTATATTTATTTATTACCTATTGCCATTTTTAACAATAAAAACCTTTCATCATTAATCACTTAACATCAATAATTTTATAGAGACATAAAACATTTTCCGGAAACAATTTTACTATTTTACTAATAGTAAAATTTTGATTGATCCATGAACGTAAAAATTTGTGATGTAAATCTATGGAAAGCAATAATTAAAAGGCAATTTTAATGATTTTCATAATGGCGATAGTCGAATAATTTGAGCGGTATTGGTGCGTTTGTTCGCATAATTATTAATGTTTGGCATTAACTCACAGCGCAAACAATGCACTCGTGTCCAACATTAAATCATTCGATTAATTAAAAACCCCGAGCTGGACTACCTTTAAAACTGTAAATTAGGAATGAGAACAATGCTGAAAGGCGTCAATTTGAATAAATTCAATATTCAGATACCGGGTGTTTGATGAAAATAGAGTATAATAATCTAATAAATTCTTATTTGTTTGTTTTTTGTTTTAATTTAAAGACGCGATAAACGGTATTATTGCATTGTAACGCCATCTCTATTAGAATTTAGGAACTAGATTTGTTATTGAACCTCAGTATTAAAATTAATCTCTTATTTTACATCCTGTACATTACGTTTTGCCGCAAAAAGTAGCTTACATGCTTTTCCTTGGTCAAAAATATTTTTATCCGAAAATTTATCAAAATTAATTGAGTGGTTTTTGCGTGAAAGTGTAACAAACATACAAATAAATTCACATTTGCATTCATAATGTTTACATTATTTGCCAAATAAACAAATAAAAATAATAATAATAAAAAAATGTTTGCTTATAATGAAATATAAAAGCAAATTTTTATTTAAAAATTCTATAAAAGAAGGTGTATAAAGTGACATTGTAAAAATGCCCAAAAGTAAAATATGTTGCCTACATTTCAGCTAGTAAATCTTGTGTAATTCATTAGGAAACAAATGAGCACTCGCCCTCGTGAAACCGTGATGCTTCGGCTGATATAAATAAGTACAGTTAAAAATTCGTTAAATTTAATTGCTGAGCAATTAAAAAAGCGTCCCTCACTCATTAAAACCATGCGGCGCGGCTGCGTCTTGCCGCCGCCAAATGGAAAATAAAATAAAGTGAAATAAAACGCAATCGGAGGAGAGACGAGCTCAACTCTCGTCCGAGTTTTCGCATTGCGCTAGACTAAATGAGAGAAAAAAAATTGAAAATAAAAAAAGTATCGCAAGAAGAACAGGATTGCGGTGGCGGTGACTGTGGAATAAAAACAAATCAGGTCATCGAATCACGATGGGGCTGAGGCGGTTTTTTGTTACATCTGCAAATTGACGCAATTGTCGCAATGTTTAACTCTTGAGCGCAATTTAAGAATAGGATAAAAATTAGTCGTGTATTGATTTAATTTCATTTTTTGTGTTTTTGGAGTTTAATTTATGTTTGTATTATTTTTCGTTGATTCGAATTTCAAGTTTGCTGGGAATTTCTCCAGATTGGGCAAGAAACGAAGACATCTCTGAAAATCTTCTCGGTAGTGCTATCAGCAGCACCCGGAGGAATTCGCGCGATGCTGTGAGATAGCGTAAGACCGTAAACCACCGCGTCATCCCTAATTGCCGACGCAATTTGTGCGCAATTTGTGCGCAATTTGTGCACCACCGCGCGGCGCTCCTGCCCGCAAAGTCATTATTGCTCGTATCTATTGCTTTCATTATTTTTTATTTTTGGTATTCTTATTTCAACTTTTGTAATTTGTGATTCAGTGCAAAAGTTGTATTAGAAGATAATATTTGAATTAAATGTCAAAAAGTATTTTCATCAATTTTATTAACTAAATAATCAACAAAAGAAAGATTCAATTGAAATTTGGTGCTTACAGTTTTATTGACAGTATTTTCTAGATTAGTTTAGCGGAAACACCTACAGCTTTAGTCAATATTCTAAATGCAAATGTGAATTTGTATGTTTGTGACGCTTTCAAGCAAAACCATTCAACGAGTATTGATAAATTTTGGTTTAGAGGTGTTTATAACCATGAAAAATAAAATAGGCTACTTTTTTTTTGCAAAAATTTAACTTGAAAGCTGTAAAATAATGGATAAAAGTTAATATGGAGATTCAATCATAAATATAGTTGTATTATCATGATCGAGATGGCGCTAAATGGCATTATAAGTTTCTTTCTTAATTTCTTAAAAAAACTGAAAAAAATTCTAAATAAAATTCTTATTTATTGTTAGATACGTGCATTTTTGAGGTTAGTTTTATCTAGAAAATTAAGAAAATGAGAAACTTGGAAATACTGATATTTTACATACAGTGGAATCCCGGTAATCAGGACACGGTTTAATCCCGCACACCTTGTAATCCGACATGGTCATATGCCATCTGTTTGTACTTTAGGATTTGTAATTTGTCGAATTACAAGGTAATTTTTTGTAAAAAAATCCGGACTGTAACCTGTATTTTGATACATTAAAAAGCTAACTTTACCTGAAAAATAAAATAAATACCAAAGTCAGGTTAGATAAATATAAAATATCCAAACAAAATAAAAATAAAAGTTGAAGTTTCCATGAGTAAATGTTTTTCCACTATGTTCTCTCGATACAGATTAAAATGTATTTTTTAGTATATTGTCCATCGATCGAATTTATGCATTGAATTGGTATTTACATATTTAAAATGCATGAAAAACAAATAATACAATTCCGCAAATAACTTGTTAACAATTATTGCAACAAAAACCACGCGAAAAATGCGATTCCAATTTAAATTTTTCCATTTAATCAAATAAATTCAACTTTCCACCCACAATATCAAAATGTGGGTTTACTGGGTATTGGAATATGTAGTGGGTACTTGTAGATATATGTGAAATTGAAATAACTCGTTGGTTGGCAATCACGACATTAATTTTGACGTAAATGACGTAAATCGGAGCGGAGTGGATGTAAAACCGGGCGCGCATCCGGCAACGAAAATTGATTCTAATTCAATAAGAGCGCCTCGTTTCGCTCGCTTTCCCGGCCGCGCTATCTTTATTGCCATAGCCGATGCCCCGAGAGCGCGTTATAGTTCACCGGCATTATAACATCCGCCACCCGCCACTCGCACACGTACAAGGGCTCTCGAGTTGATTAGATCAAAGAGGATTTAAAGTTATTTGTGTGCCAAGAGTGCATGAACACGTCCGAAAACATTCGCAAACAACACATTCACAATTGTTTAGATTTGGGTGTGTGAGAGACAAAATGGCCGAAATTATACTTACCTTCTAATGTCACATCATAGTTTTTGTCTTAGTTATACTAAATATCGTATAATGATCTATGATTTTGTGGGGTACATTTCATCGTCTGGGCTTTGTGTTGGTACGCTCGGTCCGGCAAGGATGTTTAGTCTACATTTATTTAGTCTGAACGAAACAGAGTAACCCCTTGTAGTCTGGGTACGAATTGCTCAACTCAAGGCTCTTTTGACATATTTATTGGTATACCTATTCAGTGGTAATAATTGCCGGGACCGTCTGGACGACGTCTCGCCCTATTCACAATAGCTAACGTATAAACACAAAGACCAGATGGTGAAAATTTCCGATATAAAAGGGCACCTCGAGAGGTGTTCGTCAGTCAGTTCTTCGAGTTCATTTGATGCAGAAGCTAGTACTTATTAATAAACGCATTACCACAACTTCTTAATAAACTTACATCGTGATATTCAAACCAAGTGTCTTTGCATCAATTATAACCCACACTCACCGATCCCACAAATTGGTGACCCCGACGTGATATTAAATTGAAGAACACGTTATCAAATTTTAAGTGTGTGAGCGGTGAGAATAAGTGTACCGAGTAAAAATTAGAAAATCGAAATGGCTCAAAGTACATCCGCGCCGATTCAAATCGCGAGTGCCCGCGTTGTACGTTTAATTCCGCGTTCGGACAATGAAGAAATTAGTGTTTGGTTCACACTTGCTGAGCGCACCTTTCGGCTCACTCAAGTGACGGAAGATGATGAAAAATTGTCCATAGTGTTACAATTTTTGACGCCAAC